AGCCTTGTAAAAGTAGAAGGGCACTATTTCATCCACCTGCAGATCCAAAAGCACTACCATACGAGCCGGGAGCGTTGGTTGGCGAAGGAAATAAAATCTTGTCCCTCGCCAGCTCCTAGATCGTCTGTTTTACTTCTCGGAACCTCAGATATGCTCTCACGAAGACCTAAGCATAGGAATAACGATGGGATTATGGGACCAAGACTAAGGAGAATAGTTAATCGAAGGGAATAGAGGCAAGAAGGGTCAAGAGACCACGTACCTTCCGTTGTAGCACACAACCACCGAGTATGCAGTTGTGACGGAGACCGCAGTAGATGCAGTTCGGGAAGTTGGTTGTAGAAAGTAGTGGAAATTGAGAGTACGATAGGAGAGCGACCAAAGAGATGCAGATACCCCAGTAGAGACTGATCAGACGAGAGAGAACACCTTAAAATACATTATAAAAAGAAGTATTCTCATCTCACTCCACAATTGACATTAACTCTATTCGTTAAAATTACGGACTTTACCCATACAAGGCTGTTTTGTATCCGTAGGTGTTTTAGGCCATTGTTTTCAGTGCTAAAAATAGACCGTATTGATTTCGCAACCAGACTCCACTGCCCAAAAGAATTCTCACAACAGCTTTTCTCACTTTAATACTGTCCAATCAGCGGTTTACCAATAGCCTCCCATCATAAGCCGAGCTACAACCACTCCTTCTGGCTCCGGCACCATAACGCAAACATTCATAGGCCACGACAAACCTCACTCGATCACAACAGACGGTAACATGCCCGCGCTAGTGGCTGAGAGAGCGAAAGTAGATCGAGCCAGATGTTTGGTCGTCCATGGGAAAATTACAGTCTTGCCCCTGGGGAGGAGAGCGGGGGGTGGGGGGGGGCAACGATGGCTCCTCAAGATCAAAACAAGAGGAAATGTGCCCATTAGCCTCAATGTCTTATCCTGCTGGATGAAAGCATGAAACAGCGCAGTCCACTATAGATGTACAACACACAGATCATCTATATTTAGCCGGGTTGAGACAGATTTGAAGAAAAAAGACAAACGCAGTCACATAACTATCAAGTTTCGTCCCCATTTCAGTGTTTCATCAGATATTCTCCGTTATCTTTTCCCCACGTCTCCTGCTGACCTCTCTCTCACTTTGCAAAGTCTGAGCCTGTGTCTAGCTGTCCCATCTCATCTTCCCCTCTTCCTCAGTGACAAACACACAGAGGAAAGGCGAGAGGAAGAGGAGGAGAGGAGAGAGAGAGAGAGGAGGGGGGGGGGTTGTGGCACTCGGCTGATAAAACCCACTTCCGTTTTCTGTCCATCTGTAACTGGTGGCTCTGGCTGCCAGGGCTCCAGGCTACGAGCGATATGACTTATTCTATAAGCTGAAGGTGGGGACGGAGGACGCTTCGTTTCAGAGGCTCTGAGCTGATTACTAACTCTACAAATGCGTAGGTTTTTTATTATTGACAGTCTGTAATTTGTAGTTCATTTACAGACAAGACAGCCTTTTCTTTGTGATTCACAGGATGTTCAAAATACACTAATATTTGTTGTTTTCAAACCTCGGAAACGTTTGTTGATACTGACAGAAACAGGAACACGAGATGACAGTTAAAGCTGCAATAATTAGGGAATTAATCAATTAGTCGATCAAATTACCAGACTTTTGATTAACTATTAATTGCTCAAGTAACAGGAACATTTTCTGTCTTTGTCTTTTATGACAGTAAATTCAATTTATTTGGGTTTTGAACTGTTGACTGGACAAAAATAAAGAATCATAAACTTGGGTTTTGGGAATATTTTTCAATCTGACATTTTATAAACCAAATCAATTAATTGAGAAAACACTCTAGATTAGATTATTCAATCATAATAATAATAATCTTTAGGTGCAACCAATCAATCCTGTAATGCCCTCTGAAAGAGAACATTATGTAATTTGACCCACTATCTCAGCTCGGAAAACATCATTTAAGAGAAAGTCATTCAACAGTCCAACTAGGTATTTAGATGTTATTTATGACGTTTATCAGATTATCAAATTAATGCTTCTTCTAAATGATCAGATTATCATATTAATGCTTCTTCTAGAGGGTTGTCCAGTGTTATAAATCCAATGTTCAGTCCCCTCCCCTCCCTCCATGATTCATGTGTCTCATTTTTAGCAAACCTGAACCCATTGCCTTATGGAAATCAGCTGGAACTTCTCCAAAGCCCCCCAAAAAACCGACTGTAAATAGATTATCCACATAATTAAAATTCTATTTCCGAGGGATTAAACACCAGTTGTCAGCAAAGCTGCTTTCAAAGAAACAAGGGGTGGGGTAGTAGCTGCCTACAGGAGTAGCAGCTGTCAGGAATGATAACGTCTTTGCTATGAGAGGGAATGAAAGAAATATAAGAAGAAATAATAATATAACAGCAACAATCCGTGTTCGCCAACATTAGGCACGTAAACAAAAAAAAAAAAGAGGGATTTGTGAATGGGAACAGGGACAAAAGGCGACAATGCTGCTGTGGCTCCGGCTCACATACAGCGCATATATGCGGCCTGATGAATCAAAACAGGTGCTGTTACAGCTCCATTTTGAATGTCGATGGATTTTGTTGGCTCTTATTTTCTGTGCGCAGTCGATTTACTGCGTCTTGTTTGGTTTCGTTGAGAAAGTCAGAAATGTGGTGCACGTTTTGTGTATGTTTGTTAGTGTGTTTGTGTGTGTGTGTGTGTGTGTAGGGGGGGTGTAGTAAATAGCCCTGGCACACACTGAGTGGCACTGACCAAAAAAATAAATAAAGAAAGAAAAGGAAAATGTGCGAGCTGACTGAATGGCCTGTGCAACAATGAAAATACAAGTCAATGTAAGAGAGAGAGAGGGGGGGTTATCGTATAACACATCAGTATGGAGAGAGGGGGGTAAAAATACGCAGCAACAAACAAGCTCCGGGTGTAATTCCGAGATAAATCTTAATTTTCTCGCATTCAAAATGTCAATTAACTCACCTTTGACGCGTCTTGAGATTCAGTCCCCCCCGCCCTACAAAAAAAAAAAAAAAAAAACAAAATCGAGACCGCAGCGAGGAACCGGTTAAATCCTCCTGGCTGTCCTCATTACAGAGTATAAAAGAAGCGGATGCCGGTTGGATGTGAAACCTCGACCGCCACGAAAAAATCCCAATGTACGAATTTCCGGCAGAACGTAGAGACGGAGGTCATGACGGGACGGCTTCAGGAACGGAGAGCACAACAAAGGCCTGCTGTCGGGGCCCGGCTCGGACAAAACAAAACCACGCAAACAGTAAGTAGTTCCCCCCCTCCCACCACCCGCCCCAGTTCAGCTGGGAAGAGACGACGGCGCGGTAAATTCATGCGAGGAAGAAGCAGGAGCGGTGCGGTGTGGAGCCGACATGCCTCGTAGGGGGGGAAGGCACGGGATAGTGCATCACTGGCGAAACGCGAGAGCGCAAATGTGATGAGTCTGGGTTTTACGCTTTTTACGCAGCGACGCCGGAGTCAAGAAAGGTGTTCACGTCGTCTTGCGTAAGGCTCGACGCCGTAATAGTTGCATTCGCCGAGGCGTTGGCAAGGGGGCACGACAAAAACACCCCCGGTTTAGCTTTTCTAAAATAAATAAATAAATAAATAAATTGGGTGTCACGATTGAGATTTTTTTCTATTTATTTATTTTTTCGTGATGACAGTACAACACGGCACAAAGGCTTAAAGTAACACACATATCTCGTTTCATCCACAACAGTTATTAGCGTCATTGCTGGCTAGCAGTATCGGTTGCTAAGCGACACACACTTCCCTCTTATGCGCACGGTAACTTTTACGGTTTGGCGCATTAATATTAATCCGTTATTCGGCCCTCACAGGTGTTCTGTGATTAGGGAGCTTCCAACGGTTTCGAATTCGAACGCGATAGCAGCCAATCACAGCAGAGGGTCAGAACCGTTGGTTGTTTTGTGTGTTAATGTGTCACTTCAAATGTAGCCACGGTGATAATATTTAAATCGTTTAGAAAAATAGCTTACTAAATATTACTTGATAATGCTCAAGTTAAATAGTAAGATGGACATTTAGAGCAATGTTAATATGGAACAGTTGCCCCAGAATCCAAAACATACATCTAGCTAATGTTTTCTTTGTCCAGGCCGACCTATACTGGCTTTTTGAGGCTTACATTGGCTGTTTGAGAGTTTAGAAAAACTAGATTCAAGTATTTACAACATACACAAACATTTTCAATAAAGATTCCTTAAATTTATTAAATGCAATTATAACCTTATTGGGTTTAATTTTATCACTTATCCTGTAACCACTGCGAGTATCATCAATGGTGTCTGAATATTGTTTAATTAACAAAAGTCAAAAACCATTCATAAAAATACCTTATATGTAATGAATGGGGCTATTTTGCCACTGAACTGTGGTTTTATGAAGAAGTCATGTATTCTGCCATACAAAGGGAGTAAATATAAGGACATAATCCCATTCTGACTCATTTGAACAACACTGAAACTTAGCAATGAATATAAACAGCTATGGTGAATGACTGCACAGTGTATTTATTTGTCTGATGCAATTCAAATACAATTCAATCAATGATATTCAATTATAAAAGAAACCAAATATACCCAATAAAACATGTAGCTGTATAAACAATCAGCAAGCGCCATACAATTTGGTCTTTGTAATATTGTGTTGAATGTGAACAGGTTCAAAGGTCATTCTGAAGTGTCTCAAATGCACGTCATTTATTACGGTCATCTTATTACAGTAGTGTTTCATACATCTGTAGTGATAACTGGTAACCGCCAATGTTGACTCACTGATAACTACACACGCACACAGTCCCACAAGCAAGTATCACTTACACACTCACACACAGCAGCACTAATCTATCGCTTCTTTTTGCTCTCTTTCTTTGGTTTCTGTCGAATCTGAGGTGCCGGTCCTTTAGGTTTCTTCATCTGTTCAGTGGCCCTGCCATCGGTGGACTCGGTCTCCTCCTGTAGAGCAAACACAGGCAGCGTCAAACACCCTGTCATTTCACAACAAGTCTGAGTCAGCTTGAATGTGGGGTAAAAATACACGACTGCTGAGCATGCTTAGATACGTGTGTTTGTAAGATGTGTTTGGACAATGCTTTTGCTGTCTGATACTTGCACATACAGTATTTACCAAGGTTATTTTTCAGGTAAGGAAATGGTTTATGTTGTGCATAGGGGGTTAGTAATTAGTGATAATAAATAATATACATTTTGTGATGGAGTTTTTCATTACGCCAGATAGCTCAGACTCTATAAACTTATCCGATAAATCTGAGAGTTTTTGGAGCACAAATACACACACACACACACACCAAACAAAAGACATTGAGACGTGTTTCAGCACTTTTCCCTCCGTCAGCGCTGTTTCTGTGAGTGCAATCTTTCCCTAATGGTGAGGCAGAACGACAGCAGGCTACTGTGAAGGATGAAATGGCGACATACTGTGGAGTGTAATCAGTGCATCTGATGACAATGTCTGAAAATAGAATAATTAGACAGTGGATTTAATTGCTCGTGTCTATAAATAATCTCTCCTGACAGTATGGAGATTGTGAGAGTACCCCTCGGTGGCTCTGTCTTCACGGACATTCAAAAATAAGATATTTAGCACTACTCTTGTTAAATTATGTCTAGTTTGTCTGGAAAGACTGAATAGTAACACTCTGCAAGATGTTACTGACACTGGTATTAATTATATTTAATGTCTTTATTTGTTGGCAAAATAGTTTAATAAATAATTAACCAGTCACCAGTGATTTGTACTGGCTAAAGAGTAGCAGCCTAGTAAGTTAACCTGGCTGTTTGGTGCCTTATCACCTCTTCTTGAACCAGATATATTTCACTCCTAGTTGGAGTGATACTGAAATAGTCTAAATTAGGCCAGTGAGCCAAGACACAAGGCTGCTGCTCTGGAAAGCTTTCTTAATACTTTTCAGTTATTTTGTGCAGATTTTATTTTATTGTGAAGAACTGTATATCAAAATGTTCTTACTGTTCGACTGAGTTACCATCAACTCAAACTGGTGTCGTCATACTGAGAAAAATGTAAAACATCGAAACCCTCTCACAAACAGACACTAACCTGGTTCCAGATTGTAAACTGATGCACACATCTAGATTTTATTTTTCAATGATTCAAATATGATAATAAAATGAAGACAAAATGGCAATAAAGTGATAATATGAGTCACGATGGCAACGTGGATTAATGTGAACATAATGTAGTTTTTGGGTTCAACTGTGACATTTGTTACCTATAAATGTGTTATATGTTATTTGTGTTTCCCCCAGCGTCTCCCTAACTGACTGTTTTTAATTAGGAGGTACTCTTGTGTTTAATATCTCTATCTGTTGTGGACATCTGATGCCACCAAGCTGGCCAGGAAAAATAACAGGCCTCCAAAAAAAAAAACTCACTGGATGACCTTTAACAGCTGAGCTCCACATAGGAGAGCTCAGTCCATCATTGGTGACACTAAACACCCTCTTCATACTGATCTATACGGGATCTTTGATACCTAGTGCAATAAACTCCATGAACAAACAGCACTAACTGCACCCGTATGTGTAGAAGACAAGTTGTACACTGTGTATTAACTGATGTGGTGATGAGATGTGTCGTATTGATGTATGGTTTTATCCGATCGGGTGAGACCAGAGATGATTTTCCGGCCTCGGCTGGAACGAACGTAAAGTCATGATTCCTGAACTCTACAACAGACCGACCTTACGCCATGAAGTCCCAAACTGTCTGGGATGGTAAACACGTTACGACAAGGGCGACGGGAACAGGCATTTTTAAAGGGGCGGGGGGGGGGGACACACTTCGACACTCGACCTACTCCTTGGGGTCCACCTACGTGTTCATGTCCCTTGGATGTGGGGAAGATGACAGCCAGGATGCAGATGAGTTGGAAGATGGCGCCCAGGAACAGCCCATAGCGCAGCAGGCTCTCTAGGAAGGTGGGTTCAGGGACCTCTGGAGGGGACAGGTCCAGTTCTGCAGACATGATGCTGCTGTTTGGTCTGTGGTAATCTTCAGGGACTATCTGTGCACAAAGAATAAATTAAACAGGAACCCACCCTGTTAGCAGGAAGACCAACAATATGCAGTGAACCCATAAAGTAGTGCATTGTAACTTAAAGCCAAATTATTCACAAAGACAAACGAGGTATTCTGCTCTCATCAGACGCAGGTGGGACACATTATAACGTAGTTGTGGGTCATTTATAACGTAGCAAAGCGGTGCGGAGACATTTTTCACTGCACAGATTTGAGCTGTGTGTGAATACAATGTAACGTTATATTTATACGTGTGTGTGTGTGTGTGTGTGTGAGAGAGAGAGAGAGACTTACCGGCGGCGGGAACAGTGAACTCTTCTTTGTCTTTACAGGAATATAAACATTAAACTTATTGTGGGGGTAAAACAAATAAAGCTGTGAAACCACTATTAAGGGAAAATGCTAAATGATCTTTCAAAGGAAGGAAAAAAAAACAACAATCCGCTTAACGGAAGTGACGTTACAGATGTGCTCCCCACGTCCGGTCCGCTCAATGATTGATTGGATGTCGCCTCCTAGTGTTCGTGATCGATACATACACACAGACGTACACCTGTTATTTATAAATGTGGATGTTTGTGTTCGTCAAGCTCTTTTTTAGGCTTAAAAAATAGAAAAACTGTTCACTGTCATTATTTTGAGAAGAAACGATTTAATTAATAAAAACAGACTATTATATTATTTATCTGTATTTGTATATAGGCTTTTATTATCTTATTATATCTCATATATTATATTTCTATTTACTATATGTATATACCTATACATTCATTACTACTCATATATTGTGTTAGATATTGTATATAAGTACTATTTCTTTAACGTTGTGTGAGTGGAACAACTGTAATGAACATATTTCCCCCCGGGGATCAATAAAGTATTTCTGATTCTGATTCTGATCATACAGCTGTAGCCTGCAGCCTGGTTACTTAACTAAGTATTTAGACTGTGTAAGGCTTACACACAGTGTAACAACTCAACAGTCGAAGATGACCCCTCAGAGTGAGTACTTCTTAATTTTATTGTTTACCTTTTTGAATATACACTAAATATTTTGACATTTTTGTATCACTCATTTGACCTACATAACTCTGTTTAAGACAAACTGCCTCTACTATTAACAGAAGAACAAAAAAAAGATGTTACTTTTTCCGCTTAGAAATAATATTAACTTAGTACTTGTACTAACTATTAACTAAGACAATGGCAGTTTTTAAATGTGTTCAATGAGAATATTTGATTTACACTCCAGTCCATTCCTGCTCTTAAAGCAAACACACTGATTCATATAAACAGAATTTATTTAATATAAAATATTTTATACATGCTTACAAAGAGCAATTGTACAAATATATGAACAGATAGAAGTCAAACATGTTAAAATAATAATAAAAGAAACACTAGATACACAGTAAAAGGTATGAATCATAATAATAATTGCGGCAATATTAAAGGCTAACAAAGAGCTGACCTGTTTTTTTAATTGGAAATTAGTTTGGAAAGTGAATATTACCCAATAAACCCGTGACTCTTTTCCTATCTCAACACAAACATGATGTTACCCTGAAATAAAGTCAACATCCATAATGGATCAGTTTCTATTGTTTTCCTTAAATGTCAATCCGCTTTATATTTCTTCATTGCAAAAAAAGTACAAGCTTCCTTCGAGACAATCAGAATTTTACATTTATAGTTCCTGAAGTCCACATTTTGTGCTCACTGCTTAAACGTTAAATCTGATGGACATCAGGGCTGCTGCAGGCGTCCAGAATCACTCTCCGTTGTGGCCTTTCAGGTCTCTTCTTATGATGTCATTCACTGGAAAACATTAAAAAATAGGGATGAGATGTAATATCTATTTCATCTTGTGATCTTAATGGTTCAGATGTATTAGTTTTTTTAAAAATTTTTAAAGCCCCTTTGTGTAGTTTGTTTAAATAATTCTGATGGTATACATATTTATTTGAAGATTTGTGTAATATTACAGTCAAAACTGGTGTCACTTCATTCATCCTCAAGTTACTTGTTTTATTAGTTGCAGGTTTAGGGGTTTATGCTGTGTACAATAGTGTCTTATTTTTATTTCTACCAGCAGGAGTCGCCAAAATCAGATTTTTGGTGGCATTTGATGCTTTTATGAAAGAGTCAACAGTAAAGAGATGACAGTGAGGAGGGAGACAGATGAAGAATGCAACAAAGGTTACTAAAGCCACAAAAAAATGTTATAATTTGATAAATTAATCTGTCCCATAATAACTTGATGATATGAACTATTGTAATTACAATAAAGTCCACTAGATGTCTCCATTCTATTGAACACAGATTTAAGTATAATTGTTTCTGGACTGATCAAAGTACGGTTGTTCTTTTAACAGAAAGAATAAACATATTTTCAATATTAAATATAATCTAAACGAACAATATCTAATTGATTTGTTGTATAATAACTAAATTAATACAGTGTATATTGGTTAATTCACTACTAATGCTTATTAATCTTAACCCCAGTCTGTATAAGAGACCAAACAAATGACATTGCTTTTTTTCTTCTTTTTTTTTTTTTAACCACAGGTGTGTCTGCATCTGTTTGCCATTACAGTAAACTTCCTGTTCAGTTCTTCTATCACAGAAGTGTAAAGAGAAACTGCCCCACAGCAAAAAAAGAAAAAGAAAAAAGAAAGTCAGGGTGCATCACTGTACATGATGGCGTTTTGTGTCATAAGCAAGTTGTATTCAAATGAGGCTGAGCATGCTCACGAAACGTCCACAAGTGTGTGTTTACGTGTCTGTGTGAGAGAGAGTGAGATCAAAAGAGATAGGAAAGTGGATTGAAACACCCAACAGAAAACCACGAGGCAGGATTTGCAAGCGTACACTTGCAGTGTGCTTGTGTGCATTTGCAGACTGGACCACAATTACCCATCCCCCAAGGCTTCAACTTCAAAGTTAAAGTTTGTATGTTTTTTTTTTGTTGATATTCTCCCATTTCATTTTTTTAGGGAAGCAACTAATGCAGTATCTTCTACAATTCAACATTTCAGTGATCTGTTGGCTAGAGCCAATATTTGGTTTGGAAGGCGACACGATGAGCAAATACAAACAGCTCATTGTTATTTTCAGGTGATTATAAACTAATGAAAACATAGTTGATGCTTATTATATTCCATTTCTCTGCCAATAGATCCTCCTAATGTTACACACTGGACCTTTAAGGTTGAAACAAACTAGTTAATGGAACCTTTTTGGTCAAAACATAAAGGCAAAGTTGTTTTAGTTGTTCGAGATTAGCCAGATGCAAAGAGTGGTCGAGGTGTGATTATCCTTACAATGGGGATAATGACACACACTTTTGATCAGTCTCTCCTCAAAGGCATTCGAAATGTTGCACTTGTTTGAAAAGCGACGAACGTAATCGTGTGAGGAAGGAAAAACAAGTTTACAAGAAATGAGAGATGAGAGCGAGAGAGATAAACCCTGCATTACTTTCTCACCATCATCAGGTGGGCGTGTTTGTTAGATTTTAGACACCTTGAGACACGCAGGCAGACTGATATCAGAAAGATTTGAGGGATGAATTCAGATGCTGTTCAACAAATTGACCAGCACTTTATTTGCAGCATACCGACCCCTTTATGCCAATAGTATATAACAGTAATACTCACCATCCTCCAGGTAAGCATAGCGGAGGTTCTCTTGTTTGACGGCGACCCTCTCCGTGGCTCGTTCCTCATGGTTTCCTCTTCCAGAGCCGATCTGGATCAAAGGCTGGCCGCCCGGCTCCACTCGGCTTCCGGCCTTCGCTTGAGCTTGACCGTGGATGTATCTTGACGGTGGTGACTTTCCTAGCGGCAGCGCTGTCTGCACAAAACTCTGATGTCTTGACACCAAGCAGGCCTCAAAGGACTCACCAACATGAGGACCTTCGCCCAGTTTGCCAACGGGGGCTCTGGTACTGACACACTGTGGAGTGGAGGCAGGGTGGGAAGCCATTGGGGAACCACCGAGGAGGGCGGTACCGCAGTTGCTGTAATGTTGGTTTGCAGTGTGGTACAGCATGGGGCTGTTGATCAGAGTGGACTGGTAGTAAACTTGGTCGTCCAGTGGATCAGGGGTTAACACATGGGCTCTGGGGTCTACAGTGGTTAGATGGTACAGTGTTGGAGATATATTCAAGGTGTGAAGGTTGCTGTCTTGCTCCAGGTGATGGTAGAGGGACTTTTTTGACATGCCAGACAGGAACTGATTGTCTGAGTAGCCGTACGAATTCACCTGGTAGTCATCCAGTGGTTCTGCTTTAATGGCTAAAATACAAAAACAATGATTATTTGACCGTGGAAAATGAGAGAGATCAATACAGGTCCATCATTAGCTCACTGAAACAAGGGTACAAGTACAGAAACAAGACTCTTACTAACTAATTAGGCACATTGGTCCTGACATCCTTGCAGTGACGATGCTGACATGCTGATATTGAGCTGGCAATATCAGGTTCACCAACTCAGTTTAGCATGTTAGCATATTAACATTTAGTGCAGCTGAGGCTGATGGGAATTGGCATTAGTTTTGGAGGTATCTGATAATAAACCAAAGTACTGCAATTGAAATTGTGACGCAACGTATGCGCTTGATGAAGAGAGTCAGTGGGTCACCAAAATAACTAGAATTTATCCTTGAGAGACCTTGAAAAACTGTAGCAAATTTCAAGGCAATCCACCCACTAGTCAAGATATTTCCCTCTCTGAACCACAAAAGTCAACCTTATTTGTTGTAATATTTGTTGAGATATTTCACTGTGGACCAAAGTGGTGGAGCTTCTAATGTACAGGCCAACATTGCCATTAATAGAGCTGTTTTCATGATTAAAAAATTAGTAATGATGTTACAGTGATTGGGTAATATAAAGAGAATTACATATTCATTTCATGAAAAAGCAACGTAATTTACATTTTCTTTAATGTACTTTTCCTCAACCTGCCTCATCTATACTTCAGCTGCACTAAATGTGAGCAATGTAAGTCGAGTGAAACTGTGCGTCTGCATTTCGGCTGTGGGTACTGTAGGTGGATAAGTGGTAGCGTTAGTAAAAACGAAAGATTTTCCCCTTTTTAGAGCGAGTGAGAGTTCTCCACCTATGCAAAAACCTGTGTTGTGGCTGTCGTTCCCTTCTAACAGCAATTGACTGATTGATTTCCTATGACTGGGACTGATTTCTTGTAAAAATTGTACAACATCAGTGCATGATGAGTATCATAATAGAAAGGCGCCTCTTGTAGCCAGTAGTGTCTGTAGCAACTGTGTTTTTGGATTAAAATGTCCCTTTAATTGTATAACAGTTAGATCTAATCTGATTAAATTGTTGCTATTTCCTGTATTCTTGACTTAATCAAGGGATGGCTGACTTGAAGTGTACACATTAGTCACATTAGCAACATCATAACCTGTTTAATGCGTGATTGTTTATATGTTTGTTTTTGTCTTAATTAACTGGCATCGAAAGGTCCAAATGCATCAAGCCTTTCAATGTGAGCTGAGATTGATATTTCCTTCCTTTACATTTCTCAAAAATTCAAGGTCCCCCCCCTCCTCCTGTAATAACAGAGCACAGATGCAAACATATACCTATCCCGGGAGTGTAGATGAAGTGCTGAGGCTGACTACGTTTCTTCTTCCCGTTGATGACGTAGAAGTTGACTTTGGCCGGGTGGGTAATGGTCCGGTCTCGATAAGGAGGCACCTCAACAAACAGCATGTTCTGGATGGGGATTGTGACGACAGAAAAAAAAAGGGTCACACTTCAAACAAAACTGTTTGCGGCGTTGGTTGCCCCAAATCTCTCGCTTGTGCATTTCAGATCAAAATCACCATAAAAAATTTAAATAATTTAAGTGGCAGCATGTTGAGGTAGTCACCAAAGTGTGTCATAGGTTTTGTGTTTTGCTTTCTGTTTCACGTATGTGTGAATGAGTAACAGTGCCAGACAATTTACAAAAAGTATATTGTCAGTTATGTAAAGTGATGCTTCCGGCTCAATGGTTGCGTAGTAAAAGTTAACTTACAGCTTGTGTCTTGTCTCTGTCCACAGTGGCTTCCACCTCCCAGATTTGCTGCCCATCTGAAAGCAGAGGCGATACAGAGAACAGGCATTAAGGCAGTAGTTTGACATTCTGGGGATATATGCTTATTTGCTTTTCATGGCAAGATTTGGTTGAGAAGATCAATACCATTGTCATGCTTGTACAAGACATTTTGAAGCTGTAGCATCCAGTTAGCTTAGCATAAAAACTGGAAAAAGCTAGCCTGACTCGTACAAGGTTTTACTGAGTTATGCAGTATGCTGAACTATGTCTGGGCTTCAGAAGTGCTGGTAGGCAGATTTTGTTATCTTTAGTAGTTCAGTTTCCCCGTTCCCCGAATGAAAACTCTCAGAAAAAAAAGCATGTTTAATTGGGGCGAAGAAAGATGAATTTGTAAGAAATCAGATTATGAATCCTTTCTTTAATTTACAGTACAGTACGAGCACATTTATACACAGGCAGTGGAAAACAAGTTGCTGTTCTACGTCTGGTTTAGTGTTTCATTCCCACCTCAGTTTTTACCTGCTGTGTCTGTTTTCTACCCACGCTTTGAAAAAAAAAAAACAACAAAGCCTCGGCTCTGGGTCTGAATCTTTATCAGTCAGTCTAACCACATCCTGTTGCATAAAACCCCACACCAAGCAACGGGATGCTTTACATGCAGTCAACTGTACCCATCCTGCTGTCAAACCATTTAACCCAAATATCTTGTGTGGGCAGAAGGAGCGGTAAAGAGTTGAGAAATTTCCATGTATAAATAAATAAAAGTTATCACCTCCAGTAAGGTTTAACTAATGGCTCATTTTGTCGGAGTTAAAAGTGGGGGCTGAAGGAAGATGTGCGTCATTGAAAGTGGATGTTGCCTGGGCGATATGCAAATAATCTGAAAATACAAATACTACATGAGTAGGTGGATACGCTTGAGCAGGATATTGGGAGGCCACAGAGGTGTATGGGTGTTGCACAAAGTATAAATCTATTTTAATCATAGAAACCTGTTCAGAGTCCAAATATACACATAACAATGAGAGGTCCACATAACACACACGTCAAGAGTTTTCATAATATCTACACGCACAGCATAATGCATTAAAGGAACAGGTCAACACTTTGGGAAATACACTTTTTCACTTTCTGGTTGAGAGTTAAAAATAGAAATTTGATACCACTCTCAATGTTTGTTGGTGGAAATTAGCTATTAAGCTAACACCATGAGTGTTGGTTAGTCTTAGCTTAGCATAAGAGACTGGAACAGGGGGAAATAGCTAGCCTGAAGGTAATAAACTCCACCAACCAGAACCTCTACAACACAACCCCTCCAGCACTTGTCATTCTTACAGTTTCAGTTTTGTATTGATTAAACATACAAGATTTAACTTTAGAGCTTTAGACCTTCTGGTAGGCGGAAGGTAACAAAACCTGTCTACCAGCACATCTAAAGTTCACTAATTAACATGTTTTAAAGTGCGCAGACATTTGTGGTTGTATTGGAGGTTACGTGTCGGAACATTTCTTCCTGCACAGTGCAGTAAAGAAAAAAACAACTAATTGGAGGAACAGAACGAGCTGAAAATGTCATTGCTGATTAGATATAAATCTCTCTTTGAGTCCAGCCTAAGGCCCTTTGCTTTATCCCCTCTCTCTCTCCCCTTCCTTTACTGTCTCGTCTAACAAAGCCATATATATTTAAATATATATCTTGTCACCTTGTGTCTTCTCTGAGAATATCACTTTGGAGTCAGATGTGAAATTCTGTCCAGTAAGGACCATTTGTTGACCACCAAGTACAGAGCATCGATCCAGGTCCTGCCTCTCGACTGCAGGGAGCTCCTGAGCAGAGCGCTGGGCTGAGGAAACAGGAAAGACACAACCGTATGAAAGAAGGTGAGGTAACAAAACAAAAAACAAACATCTGGTGGGACATTTCGGGGCAGTTGGTCACTCAAATGTTTGATGGTTACAATCTAGAAGTGCAATATTGACTACTATAGCCTGGAGAACATGAAGTTAAAGCCAGCTTTTTGGCCACAAGTGACAATCATGTGATAATGCTGAATGATAAAACAAGTAAAGAAGAGTGAAAAAGTTAGCTAGATGTCATGACCCAGTGAAAGGAGGCAAAATTCAGCTTATTAGGAATTAAACACTCCTTACAGCATTCAATAGGATCAGAGGCCACTTGAAGGGACACGAGCTGGCCTCCAGGTTGAGGAATGTGGACACGAAACACCAGACGCACACGCGTGTTTTTTCGTCCAATATCCGTCTCACCGTTCCTCAGTTCAATGTCAGCATTCCTCAGCTTCAGGATTCCTACACAGTCAATCCTGTGAAATGTAAGAGAATAATCACAAAAAGGGATCTGAAATTAGGCCGGTTATGCTTCTTCAGGAACGTTGTCACCTTCTTCAAAATCTGCTGCAAGGCTGTTTCTGTTTACACACAGTCCCAGTCAAACTATAGTTAGCTGATGTAACCTGTGTTTGTTTCGATTAGTCAGTTATACTAACCATCAAAATAGTGAGATTTTGATCAAAAACAACATTTTTGCTACTGTTTTTCAGTGATTTGTCATACATCAATTCATCAAAGCTGCTGTAAAAACCCAAAGTCCCGTAGGTCTTTCTTGGAAAAACTCTCTGGCGCACAGGAAATGATGCATTTTATGTTTCCGTCTGTGGCAACAGCAACTTGTCAGGAGCAAAAACAAAAAAAAAACTTGTAGCCTACATGAGCAGCAATAACCACCATGGGTGAGTTTAGAAAGAAAACGGAAATTAGCACAATTCTGGTGAATGAGTTTAGTGTTTCTTTGCATCTATAATTTTGGGAGATAAAGCACAAAAAACACCACAGTAGTGATTGCTTAATAGGCACGAGGTGACACGTGACTTGTATTGATGGATGTTGCCACATTTTCAGAGCATTTGTGATTTTTTTTTTACTTTTTTGGTTAACAAGTATCCCACAGTGTCTCTGTGCTACTCACACCACTCTCATGTGGTTCTTTGGCTCCAGAGGGATCTCCAACACTTTTGTCCCGTTGATCATTCTCTCCATGCTGGGTGTGGTGACGGTCTTCCCAGTGATGCGGTGGACCTGGTAGAAAGCGTGGGGTTTCAGGAGCCTCTCGTCGGCTGTTCCTATGAAGACCTGCAGCCCCAACGGAGCTGTGCCGTGGTACCCTCGGAGCTAATGAGAGCAACAAAGGCGATTAAATGCATGCTTCACGCCAAATTACACTAAGTATAATACCATTAATGTCCATGGCGGCAGAGAACAAATGTACACTGCGCAGTAAATCTCTTTTCCCTGTGGGGATGATTTCACAGGTCACTATCTAACTGGCAGAGCACACTGCTTTGCATAGTCCGTCTGTGCAACTGTGCCAGGAGAACCAACAGTAGGAAGAGTTATTAAATAACTCACCAGAGCAACAAATAAACCAGATCCATGTGGCAATACTTTAATGATATGTCAGTGTACCTGGTTTGTAACTATTAGTGTATTTTTATCAAGTGTATGCCCTAATAATTTCCCCTCGTGAGAGTAGTGACATGAAGCTCTTTCATTCATTTGCATGACTGTCGGCTTTACATAAACACAATATAATCCAGGAAATACCATCTCATATTTACAGTCTCTTCTGCTACTTCATTTCTCTTTTACAGAGAAGTGACACAGATGCGAAGTTTCTTTTCTCGCTTGCTTTTCCTCCTCTGCACAAAAAAACACAAAAAGCACCTGAACTTCTGGATGACCTCCGTTAGACGTCTTTACAGCTCCGCGGCTGCCCTCGGTCTCATAGTGGGCTCTGTGGTGAGATCTGGGCTGTTGCTGGAGAACAAGCTCATACTGATCAGACTGACTGGGCAACGGCCACTCTAAAGACGGGAGTGGAGCCACAGAGAGGCCACTGGGGGGAAAAGAGTGGAGAATGTAAAAGAAGGCTGTCAATAAACGGTGTACTAACTGTGACAGAAATACATAAATTCTCTGTGAGTAATAATAATAAAGGACAAACAACACACGTGAATGCTCCGTGGTGGACTCGATGATGAGGTGGCCACACAGCCGGGACCATAAAGAAGGTTTCGGGCTTGACTTCGGCTCCTGCCTGGCCCATCCTCTCCTGCTCAATGGCCCAGTCATACCCCTCTGCGTACACACAGTCCTGTCTCTGGGCCTGGCCAAGCACATCTCGCACCACTGCAGGAGGCATTGCTCTGGGTATGCTGGAGCTGAGGCTGCTCAGCATCTCCTCTAGGCCCAGGGAGGAGGTCTGAGTTTGGGGCTGGAACTCAGCTTGAGCCTGGTATTGGTCGGGGTAGTAGGACCCCTGCTGCTCGTGGGGCGAGGGGATGGGGCTGGGGCTCCGGGAGCGCTGCTTGACAGGAGTGCCCCCTTGACAGGAGTAGGCCTGGTCATAGGAGCGCTTTCCGTGCGGCGAGGCGGACCGGGAGCGCTGGTGGGGAGCCGACGAGCCAGTGGGTTGGTGTTGGGGCAGGAGATAGGTCTCGTCTGTGACGCTGTTGCGAGGCGAGGCTCCAGGAGAGGAGTGGGCAGAGGAAGTGTGGATCCCCTGGAGGCCCGGACAGAGGTCTAAGGCTGACAACCCCATGCCACAGCCTCCGTTAGAAGGAGAGACACACGGAGAAGTCCCAGGAGAGTATACCTCTGCAGGCCAGCCAGTGGAGGAGTTACTGCTGGCAGGACTCACACACTCCCTGTAGGCCCCCGGAGCTTTGGTGCCAGGGCTAAGCTCCAGGGTCTGAGAGCTGAGAGAGTCACCGGACGGAGTGATCTCAATCCTGGGGCTAGGAGCAGGGATTGTCCCTGATCTTGATGCCAGCCCCAGGGTGTCAAACACTGCCCCTGACAGGTGGTCTGTGTTGGTGCTGTGAGAGGAAAGGTCCTGACAAGAGGCTGGTTGGTTGGAGCTCGGGATGTATGCAGTGTCATGATCGACCACCACCAGGGGAGGCTGGTGGTCGTTCTGAAGGAGAGCCCCTGGGTCATCTGCCAACAACCAAAGTAACCAAGATTAATGTGTGCACACATGTCCAAAGTACCTGACCACTTCTACAACCCTGCGACAACCTAAAGATCCCCTCCTGGCATGTTTTAAGAAATATAAAAATGCCTAAATCTGCATTTAATAGGAATTTGTGTCTGGTATTAAACATCACCTCATTAAAATATCTTAAAATTTCATCTACGCCATTAGTGAAAGGTATAATATATGTATAAATATGCAAATATTTTTTATTTTGAAGGTTAAACTACTCGATACAAGACGTCACTGAAAAGCCCTTTGATCTCTGGAGGCTTCAAGTTTCCACTTCACAGTTGTGTATGTTGTATATTAGACCAATGGCTTCAAACTGGTTGTGATGAGTTTTAAAAACACTCCCCACCAGCAAGAAGCTGCAGTGCATCAAGACAAAAACCTCCCGCCACAAAACAAAAGGTTTCTTCCAGACTGCAGCTCAACAAGGCCCTGGGACCCTCCCTGACTCTGACTCTAATCCCGCCCAATGTCTCACGTTAATACACATTTTATTATCTCATTATCACATTGCACATTGTTTCTTTATACTTATATCTTTATTTGTGAACATTTGTAGATTTTATTAGTCAGTATTTAAAATCTCAATTACAAAAACTGTACAACTCTGTTCATTTTTATTATATATTATATTAAACATATTTTAAAAATAGATTTTTATTGTATTTTTTTTATATTTTATATTTGTGATTCTTTTGAAGCATTTGTTTTTTAATTTTCTTATCCCTAACTATTTGTTATCGTTAAGCACCAAACTACAGAGGAAAAGTCCTGGTACGGTTACAGTATGTGAAAACCTACATGGCAATAAACCTGATTCTGATTCTGATCTTTCTAAATATAATTGCTGTTTTTATTATTGCATGTGATTCCGGGGACAGTTGTCACATGGACAAGCTAATGCATATCCTCGTATTCATTTCATAGAATCTTAGTAGGCGTGCTCTGAACATCGACTCTTTTTCCTAATAAATAGACTTAGTCTGTAGTCAATAAACATTGCTGAAACAGTAATAGACTTAGTCTTTGATTAAAATAATAAAGCGTTCAAAACCGTTTTGGTTGTTTCAGATGCTACCATGTGTCTGCTCAGGACATATTGGTAACCACCATTAGCCAATTCTTAGATGAAACTATGAATATCTTCATGAAACCACAGATCCAGATCAGAATGTGTTACGCAATTGCACTCTGTCATGTATCCGGACTCATGGAGAGAAATACTATACATGCCAGGTCTTAAACAACAATACACAATACCTCAAAAGATAGAAGAGAAGGATTTATAGTCATATAAATTACTATTGGATCAAAATAGCCATCTAAGAAAGCCACTCGGACGATTGCTCAAGTTATCAATTTAACGAGCTCCTTTTGTGTTAGTTTGGCTTGGATTAATGTGTTCAGATTGTTATAATATGGAAGGAACCCGACCCTCTTAGATTTTAGAATTAACTCAAGCAGGGTAAAGTCATATTAGTGATGAAAAGAAGTTTGTTAAACTGCATGTGCCTTAATCTCTCGAAACATCACTATATCACTTATCTTTAAGTACATTCTCTCACGGTCTTAGTTGTTTAAAGGGAGGTATATTTTAATATTAATATTTCGCGTTATACATGTTGACTATATATTTTATTTTTTTTATTGATCTATTATTTACTTTAACATTACTTGTCTATCCATTCACTGGCTATAGGTTAGTATGTAATATTTACTCGTATTACGATATTATTAACCGGGCTTCATTCATTTGTATTTTTAATATCTGTGTCAAAAGACTGCTTGTACAATGGGTTAATACTATATAAAAGATTTTTGGGATCAGTCTACCATGAAATACAAAATATTTTTATATTTAAATACTCGCTAATTAGATAGCACGGCCTAATTATATAAAAAACTATTCTTTGGCTAATAATAAATCGATTATAGTCATTGCCTAGGTATATTTTATTTATAAGATGATATAGAGTTCTTATATCATGTCCAGGGAAAATTAGCAATATATATGTCTGGTAGAACTCATTGTAATCAAGTTAACGGCGGTAAAGCGACTACGACCATAGACGCAGTACAAGCCCGTGGTTGTTCCGCTTGGAATAATCTGCTTTATGGCGATCTAGTCTGTATGAGAGAACATAAAACACAAGAAATTGACAAATTGTCGAACATGATAGAAATAACCAGCAGTGGAAGGAGATACTCAATTCTGTCAAATATTATTCACTAACTCACCAACCAACCCAGATAGAATACGCACCTCTGATCAGAGATACAGATACTGTGTTAATGCTAAAGTTCATCTCAATTAGAGACTTATATGTTTTAATAATCATCTTTAATTACCAAGAGGGCATTAACAATTGAATTATTCTATAAAGTGCTAATAAACTACCATATGTATTCAGATAAGAGATTACAAAGCACCACCGGAGTGATGGTACAAGTCTGTTAAGGCGCCAGATAAGAAGATGAGCTTTGGCTCACACTCGAGGCTCGCTCATCATCCTTCATTTCTTTCATGACAGCCAGATATAATTCGGCGGGTGACTTATAGTACCTCCATGGGATAGAAAGCTGCCAACTCAAACAACACCTATGACATATAGCGACGGATGCATGAATAGGAAGTAGTACATTACTTCTCCATGATTAATGTCAAGTAATTTCCAAGTACAGCGGCTGGCAACCGGGATCGTGAAACTCGGACAACCCAGGCCTAATTCATTCTTGTTTCCATTGAAGGTTTGGAAATGGTGAGATTTAAAAAGGAATTGATCACTTCATAATTGGCACTAATTAAAAATCGTATTTAAACAGAGTGGTCAGAAGCATAAATCTTCAATAGTATATTAACCTTATAACTTCTTACGTTGGCTCATGGTGATATATATATTTACAGCAATACACCATGATTCCTTCTCTAAACACTCTATAATAAGCTCGGAATAAGTCGAACGATGAAATTGGTAACCACCAGTATGGGTGCTGGAAAGACATGGTAGAGAATATGAGCAATAAATACTATTACGGATACTATATAAGAAGATAGGAAATATATACACTCCACCGTATTTAGCCACTTAGTATTAATTGATAATGCCTTAAACATTCAAGATATTATCATGACTTCATAAACCATCACTAGCATATATACAAACTATGTGGGATGCAATTACATACTTGATAAAGTATTGATAAATTATCAACAGGTTTAATTTATATTCAAATATATATTAAATATTTTCTAAAAATCAACACTAACTATAACAGGCAATAGCATTCGACAGTCTCAATATTAAAAAAAGTGATTAATTAGATAACGTAAACCCATTGCGTATAAGACTACAAGACAAAATATAAAATATTAGTTATGATCAGGTGAGAGATGTTATGTGTCTTAAACGTACAATCTACTATATTGAAAGAGATATTACTCAGGAGTTAACCCCATGAAATGCGTTTGTACAGTATTCTTAAGCCTGGTAAGGAGTTGCGATTTTGGATTCCCCATTAAGCTACGGATATTATATTAGAGATTCGTTGAATCAAAATGGGTAAATTATATTTAATATTGCATTGAAAATATGATTATAGATCATGGAGGAACCTACTATATGCACCCGTAAGTCTCCTGAGAGTGTATAAAGATACCCCGAAACACTTAGAATAACCTCAAATAATACCACTGGGGTCATAGGCGGAAACCCATAAACACGTAGAGCCACTTTCACGAATTAAAAGCTTCATGAAGGGATGATTCCATTCAACCGCTCGCAGTGGGTCAGCGTACATCGTGACTAGTCAGACTAATATGTTCCACTCTAGCAGATAGATCTGTAGGCAGGGGTAATACCTTCTCTATAAGAATTGGCAGTCTTAATCCAAAGAAAATACATTAAAGTCACATTATATATAGATTTAGTTTAATGGATACACTCACCGAGCAGAAGTCTACCTCAGACCGAGTTAGTGAACAAAAAGAAGCCCTAAAACTGTGTATTCTTGGAGTATTAGGTCTTTGACGATAAAAATACGGCACCAGGATAATAATGAATTACCTCTATAGCACACGGGGTGTCCATACTCCTCAGGCCTCATTACTCAACAAACGGCTACCCCTAATCAGACCAGCATAATTCAGCAGGGAGCTACATACTCGTCTATCGGGACCAAGGGGCAGGCTTCACCCACATTTCATCAGTTGTGCCTTGGGCTGTCCATTCACTTCGCTCTCCATCATTGCTTTCCTTCTGGACCACTTTTTGGAGTTGACCAGCACACCCAAAAGAGCTGCTGTTCTGGGGGTCTCTGACCCATCGTCAGCCACAACAAATTCGGCCTTGTCAAATCGCAATCCTCACGCTTCCCATTTTTTCTGCTCTAACACATCAACTTAAGGAAAAAAATGTTCCTGCTGCTAATATCCCACCCCTGACAGGAGCCATGTAACGAGATAATCAGTGTTATTGC